ATGCCCAGTGTAAAAAAGCCAGAAATTTCTGGGTTCAAATACATATAATGATACAAAGAACCTTAAAAATCAACATTCAACTGAAACCAGAACTTTTTCTTGCTGGGATTCATGGACAGTCAATTAGAAAAGAGCCATGGAAGATGATTTTTATATATGATTACTGCTGCAAGACTCTTTATTATATGCGCAAAAAATGGAAAGACTCTGAAATACCCACAACAGAGGAATGGTTGGTAAAGATGACAGAATTAGCAGAGATGGCAAAATTAACTTGTTTGATTAGAGAAAGATTAACAACTACATTTATCAGTGACTGGAAATCCCTTATGGACTTTTTGCTGAAAAAAGATAAAAATGAACTTATGGTTTATGGGTTTGAATATTAGAAAGGGTAGCTTATAGAAAAAAGGAAATTGTGATGTAACTTTAGAGAAAAAGGGTAAAATATAAATGCATTTATAACTGCTGTCAAAAAGATTGGAAGCCGCTCCTTTACAACCTTCCTTCCTTCCTTCCTTCCTTCCTTCCTTCCTTCCTTCCTTCCTTCCTTCCTATTTCTATTTCTATTTCTATTTTCTTATTTATTCACTATTTTTTCTTATTTTCTTTGTTTCTTTTCTAACATATGCATTATTTTTATCCTGTTTAAAATGTGTTCAATAGAATTATATCAAAATACTGTTGCTGAATGAACGTTTCTCTTTACCTATTGGCTTCCTTTATTTATTGGGCACAGAATCATTATTTCACAGCACTAGTTTTTAGGATCATCTTGCAGTGCACTGAGGACATCAACGAAGGACAAATACCAGGAAGGTGTATTAATGAGAGCTGGTTCAGGGGAAGCAATGTTTGGTGTAATAGACCCCCTTAGTTTTTCCAACAGTCACTTGTGGATCTCACCTCTGGTTGGAATCCATGTGTATTGTTTGCCAAGGAGGTTGGTTAAGCTTCTTACAGTTATTTTAGATTGGAACTTGACCTGTCCACAGAAAATGAACAGCAGAAGACTCTGAACTTTGGCCAAACTGAGCTACCTTGTACTGCTGACCCACCCGGCCACCCAAATCTCCCATAAACAGCAGAGTGAAAGTACAAAGGAGGTTAAATTCACTTTCACTGACAAGAATTCCAAAGATTTTGATTCAAGAGATGTTTGTCCTGACCACCCTGTCATTTTTTTTTTTTAAATAGAAGTCCATAACACTCCCCAGCCTGGTATCTTCCAGATTTATTTCACTTCAGTTCCAAGCATGCTTCCTTGAAATTTGAGGAGGTGAAGTCCAACCATTCGGCATACTTTAGGGGGAAGAATAGTATATAAGAATATACTTAAGGAAGGATGAATAATTCCTTCTCCCTAACTCAAACTGGTCTAAAAGTTAACACCTCCCACCCAAGTATTTATTTTAAGTAAAATATTTTGATCTTTCTAAGATTCATTCCACTAAATTTTAGAAAATTCTGAAATCCTGACAGACATATCTTTTTTTAGCAGATGGAACTGAGTTACAGGGGCATCTGGTATCTGCTCACTTAATTCCATAAAGTTGATATATGTAGACCCAAAAGGACTTCTAGATTGAAGGGCTTTCCCAGAATGCATTTACTTTTCAAACATACAAATGTATTTCAGTTTTTTCCATCATGGAACTCCTAAGCAGTCTGTCTTATTCAACCTAGAGGCCTGAAAAATGACTATACCAGCCTGAGTTGGTAGGTGATCAGGAGAATAAAAGCAAGATATCAAACAGAAAAAGGATCAGAATCAGAAGGAGACTAAGATTAGGGAGAATATGGGAGAGATAATAGAGTGGGGTAACCTCAGTCTATAAATAAGGAGCCATTCTTCCTCTCCTAGCAGTCTATGTTATTAAGGATACAGCTTCAGGAGACAATGTTATGGTACAAGACCTTTGATGTTGCAACTTTCTCTCCTTTTCTATGGAAGGGAAATCAGCCTTGAAGCTGGGATCAGCATTCAAAAGCCTCTGCCTATAGAAGGAGCAGTATAATAGATCTCTGCTATCACTACTTTTCCATCACTGATGTTATAGAAGAGAAGGGAGAAAAAGAACGTAGGAGGGCAGGATATGCCATAGATCAGAGGAAACATGTGTGCCATTATATCAGCCCTGTTAGCATGAGATCACTAGGATTTGGCATTTGGTAGTTCATCCATTCCTCCCTCTTCTATCCTCAAAGGACATTTGTCAACTTGAGCCATTTATTCTGGTCAAGGAGTTTGGGATGTTTTAGCAAAAGGAGCTGAGCACACAGTTTATAAATGGAGTGGATGCACAATATATGATGCCTCTATCTCTGGACTTATGCATCTATACTTTAAGATCAGGGATGGACAACCTGAGCTCCAGGGGCTGATTGATTGATTGATTGATTGATTGATTGATTTGCTGGCCTAGAGCCTCTTTGAGCCACAGCTGCTGAAAATCAGTGACATGATTTGCTGCCGCCGAGATAAAAAACATGCAAGAACTATAGTGCAAATCCTAGAATTTAGGCTTAAATTTAGTTAGGAATGCCCTCTCCAACTGTCCCCCACAAATCCAGGCAAAATACAGAGAATACATCAGCCCCACCAATAGCTGTAACTCTGCCCACTGTGGTTCTCAGGCTCTTCAGAAATACTTGCTGCAGTCCTTCACCCTGAAAACACTGCCCATCATGAGATTGGTTAAAACCCTGTTTCCAACCTTTAGCATCTTATTCAGCTTCGAGTCATCTCTTGTAATGCCATCTGAAAATGTTTTGCCCTGTCGCTTACCTATTGAGACATTCACACTGATAGCTTTTTAGTGTCAGGCCAGCACATTTCTCTTATCCAAGAATTTTTGCAGCTAGTTTATTAATTTCAGTATCCACAATATGCCAGGGGAACAGCTGTTCTTTAGTTTTTCATATTTTTAAGTAACTTTGTAGTCTGCCCAGCAAACTTCAGCAACTGGAGAGATTAGGGTGAAAGTTCTACTTCACAACTTTCCACCCATTATGACATGGAGCATTAAATAAGCAAAGAGGTTTCCATAATTCAGGAGTGATTCTCCCCCACCCCCACCCCAAACACACATATACACCTGCTCTCAGCATGCAAAGAAATTGCCATGCACTTAATTGATAACCTGGGATGTTGAGCTTTGACTCTTGCAAAGAGCACAGCAGTAAGGCAGGACAAAGTGTTTGTGGACAGATACCCATGTGATTGTTTTTGTCAAAAACGACAAGAGCTGCCAATGTTCCAGAGAGACCTCTGCAAGGGATGAGAGAGAAAACAGACCTTGCTCATTACTAAAGGGAGATCAAGTGTTAAAATATAAACTTAATGAAACCAGAGCGGCAGGTCACAGTCACCTCAACATGGCCATTGCAAGATTCCATCTTTTTTTTCTGGGTAGCTCCTCATTCTAAGCTTTTGGTTCTTTAAAACTAGTAAACAGGGAAATCCATAGAAGATTAGGTGTTTTAAACCATGTTTTTTTAAGCATGAAACAAACCAGTACTATGTTGGCTATTTGAGGGATTGATCAACTAATTCTTAGGACAATGACCTGAAAATAAACATAAATCTATATTTAGACTATTTATTTTGAAAAAAACTGGGAGGTTACCAGCATCATCATCATTTCTTAGATATGGTTATACTTCTATAAGAATATTTACACTCAACTTTCTATTTAAAAATAATTGGAACAATATAGTATGTTACTGCATCAAAAATCAGAGTCTTAAGCTCCCATGAATCATCTGCTATTTAGCATTTTTAAGGAAGAAAAAAAAAGAAGAAAGATAATTTCAAACTACTGAAATTGCAAAGGGGCATTTAATTCTATGAATTAGGATGCTGAACCAATATTCCTTGATTTCAAAGAAAAAAATGTTTCTTTATCCAATTATAATGATTTCCAAATGAAATTATTTCAGCATGTTGTGTGTGTCTGTGTGCCATCAAGCAACTGGCTGGATAAGTCTCTGCAGTTTTCTCGGTGACGTTTTCAGAAGTGATTTGCCACTGCCTGCTTCCTAGGGCTGAGAGAAGGTGACTGGCCCAAATTCTCCCAGCTGGCTTCATGCCTAAGGCAGGACTAGGACTCACAGTCTCCTGGTTTCTAGCCTGGTGCCTTAACCACTAGACCAAACTGGCTCTCAGCATGAGGCCTTTATAATAAGAGTAAGGAGGGGTGGGGAACTGGTAATTTATTTCAGGCAGGAGCTGCAATTCAGTCTTCTAACTCACGACTGCTCCAAGTTGGAATTCTGGTGGTCAGTGATTTATATTTGGGTGCACTCAAATTGGGGAATAGGGAAGGAGTTCAAGGATGGGAATAGAAGTGTTTTGCCTCATAGAAGGCTTATGTTGTTACTCCCACTCTTCAAGCTACTCCAACCTCATCCAACTGGGTAAAAATCATGCCCACTAAAATTAATTTGGTTATCAAATTATGAAAGCGTGATCTTGGGTTGCTGCAGGACCTAGATTGCCCAACTCTGCATTAGAGGTTGTAACGATCAGTTTACCTTTACAAAGTGACAAAAATCAATGGAAAAAACAAACCTTAAAATGTTTAGACCCTGTGCAATGACTAAATGGGATTCGTTATTCTGGATTGGCCAGCATGAATGTTCAGCATTCTACTGTGAGCCACACCACAAATTTCTCTCTTATACTCACAGGCAACCATGCTGTGAATACTTTTCTGGCAAACACTGATCCGCTGTAATATAACTGAGCAGCTTAAAGCTTGCCTGATGTAACTCAGCAGTCACCTTAGCAAGATCAGCACAATCCTGCCTCTGCGTGGAGACTTACTTCCTGGCTGAACTCTTTCCGTGAAATTGTGTCAAAGCCAAAAGAGTAAAAAAAGAGCTGGGGGAGGGGGTCTGGCTACCATTATCCTGGGCCTTGGAGGAAGACAGTGTCCTTATTTACTGGAAGCGCCCCAATAAAGAACACTTAGTTATGTGAGGACCGATTTAACAAAAAGCCTCCTGTCCCTACCCAGAAATCATTTCCAGACAAAAGTAAATATGTGCCTTCCCTAAGATTTTGAAGGTGAAGAACTTTTCAAGGCCACCGTGAATTAGATGGCTTGGAGCTAATGTCACACCAAATCATGAGAGAGCATGCTGTTGTTCACAGACCTTGGACATGTCCTGATTTCAGGCAAACCAATTTACAATTTCTTTTAAAGATTCAAGCTATGATTGAGCAAACTCTGAAGACTAGAACTGGAAACAAGACATAGAAATCAATGCTCTAGTCTGGATGAAATCCTTTAACTCAGGCAGGAGCAACCTGCAGCTTCAGGACTGTATGCATCCCTCCCCAGTCAATTCTGTTGTGGTCCTCAAAGTTATCCTGTTATGGTTCTCTGTCAATGATTGCTGAAAGCTGATAGCACAATGCCCTGCCATTCTGAGGTGCAAAACACATGAGTGTCTAAATGTGTAGTGTAGTGTATATGATGTAGCCTACAAAAATGTTAAATGTGGCCTTTGGCCACCTCTACTTTACTCAATCCATAGGAGCAGGTGGGAATAACCATTCATTCGATAAAGACAACAATGGGACACTCAAGCTTCAGGCTTCCATCAGCTCATCAACAGAGAGTCAATATCACAGTTTGGTGTGGTACGAACCCAGCCCCATCAAGCTGAAGAAGTTAATTGATTTCACTAAATTTAGGAGGACTCCAAACTGCCTAATTCACAGTGGCCTTGAAAAGTCCATCACCACCTATAACTGGCACTAGATATTAAATGAGGCAGAGATTACTATAGAATAATCATGGGTTCCCTTCTACCAAAAAAGTAAATAGGTTCCAACAGTAGCAGTAAATGAAACCTGAGGAGAATGGGGGTGAGGAGACAGTCCAAAGGAGAAGGACAAAATAACATAAAAAGGAGAGGAAAACCTTACCACAAGGGTTTATTTTGGATTTTTTAAAGGGTTCTATAGTATGCCATATGATACCACCACAACAAAGATCTTATCATGAAGCACAGCCTTCCCAAAGTGTCCTCCAGATGCATTGCACCAGAACTCCAAACATAGTCATGTTGGCTAGGAATGATGAGAACCGTATTCAACCCATCTGGAGGGAGCCAGAATGTGGTAAATGGTTGTAGGAGTTCACTCAGAGCAATCAGTTAAGGCGTTTACCTTGCTAGTTTGCATTCCCAAACTATTTGCTGACTCAAAAGTTAAATTTTAAGTCTGCACTTCAAATCACCAGAACAACAGGCAGCAGGTATGTTCAGGCTGAGACTCCTTTCAGTTTTATTATAACTGAAAAAAAAAAAACAGATTATCCTACTGCTTTACTATTCTGAAATAAGTTTCAGTAATTTCCATTACTGCATTAATATGTTGGAGCAGAATGCAAGCATGCCCACATGTTTGCTACTTTAACTCAGAAGCAAGCTAACTTAGACTCTGTGGAATCCTCTTTTCATCTTAGCCCTCATGCAAGCCTTTGGTCACAAAAGAAGGTCTGAGTAGGTCTGTTTGTTCCTAACCCAATCATCCCTCTTCACTCCCTGAGCCCATGATCCAAGAGTCAAATAAAGAGGAAGAAAGAAGAATTTTTTATTCCGTGTAGTAGTCCTGCCATGCACTGCTGCATTTAAGGGACCAGATCATCCTTCTTTTCCCCTCCATTGTACCATTAATAGGCCCATTCATAGCATTTTCCCAAAACTACTGCTGCTCAGACAATCTTCTACGAGACCACTCAACAACCCACATTTCAGTGCATTCTTCAGCCCACTGCAACTAATCTGTCCCTTGTATGCTAATCTGTCAGATGGCCTCACCTCTTCCTTTGTGAAATTCTTCTCAGTTCCCAACAGGTAGGGTGTGATGAAGCTCTCTCCAGGTCTAATCTGGCTCATGAAGCCGTAGAAACAGAGGTAGGCAACAAGGAACTTCCAGCGTGGGTCTGGTGGAGGGTCAGGGGGCTGTTTTTCTATTTTTTCAGCCTCTTCAGACATAGCTCCCTGGTACCTTGACCACTTTGAAAAAGAATGGATTCTTTTCAGTGAAGGCCACAATGCTGGATCTATTCTTGGTTCAGCTTCTCTTTCAGCTGCTGTGTACAAACTCCAACATGCAGAGGTATGCCTCACTGGTATGTCTGTAAAAAAAAGGAAAGAATGTGGCACCCCAGGAAATTTCCTGGTGAGAACATCACAAACTAATCCCTACCTTCATCTTGCCAGGAATGTGTTGACTTTGCAATAACATTTCCTAAGAACAAAATTGTACTCAGCTCCCATAAATGTCTTCTATGGCCTATCAAATATTTACTTGATACCATGACCAATGCAATGGAATGTTTCAGGTCAGTCAGATCAGGGAATATATATGGGGGGGGGGGGGGGGGGGGGGGAATAAGGGAACCAAAATAAAGAAACATGGAACACTGTGGTGCAACATAGTTTATTCAGCTGGACTATTGTCTTTATAAATAGTAACTAATACTAATATCATTTCTTCAGCTACTACACTTTCACTTCACAACAACTCTGTAGGATAGACTATGAGGTCGAAAACCTAAGAGCATACAGGGTCCATCATAGTGGAGGAGTGAGTTGAATTACACATAAACTCAGCACTATAGCCACTCTGTTATACAAACTTCTGCTAATAGAATTGTACTAATTAGCAATTTAAAAAGTCCCCTTCAAGTCAACCCTGATGTCTTGTGGCTTAATGTTCATGTCCACACACTTTTCTTGATAATACAGAAATGTTTCTCCATTGGCTTCTTCTGGTATGGTTTTGTTTTGGTTTTATTTCCCTGTCTAGCTTACACTATTGGGATATCCTGGTAGTCTCCCACCTGTATTCCTCAAGCCTGATTCTGCCTAATTTCCAAGCCCAGAGAAGGTCAGCTGGTGCTACCAGCTGTGAACATTTGTTATTAGGAAGAATTTCATTTCTTATTCCTTATTCACTCAGTTTTATCTCAGCTGAATCATATTCTAGTTAGGATGTTGTAATGTGCTGTTCACAAAGCTGTCTTTTGAGCTGAACTGGAACTTTCAACTACATCATATGGCTACAAAGAAGCTCTCAGTAGCAACCAGGACAAGGAGCCTGCCAAGAAAATAGTTGCTCAATGGTCAAGGAGAAAGTCCCAGTTTCTGTTAAAGACAAGAGAGCAGTGTTTCTCAACCTTGGCAGCTTGAAGATTTGTGGACTACAACTCCCAGAATTCCCCAGCCAGTCTTGCT